AGTCAAAAATATTTACTCACTTTTTTAAGTTTTCCAAAACCTATCTAAAACTTTATCATTAATTAACTGATGAAAATAAAATCAAGATGTTTTTATTTAAGAGAAGTCTCCAAAATAAGTTTATTTTTTAGAGTATTGATTATGTGTTATGTTATTCTTGTTACCTCGTTTTTGATCAAGATGAAGGATATCATGTCAGACGAGAAAATGAAATCAATGAAAACCAGGTAAAGTCATGATGAGAAAAATTTGAGTGACAATGATTTTTGGAATGTTTATTTTATATAGAATTCATGGAAAACTTAAACAGATAGTTTTCGTGTAAAAAATGTGTATTTTAAAAAAAGATTAATACATAGTTCTATATAGAAATTCGTTATGATTCTGTGCAAAAGGAAACTGTGTGAGAAATCTTCTTTCAATTGATAAGCTATAATCATCTCTTCTACGATTTCCTGAATATGTCTAGTTATATTATGGTTGCCACCATTCTTTTATTTTAGCATTTTTCCACCTGAACGATATAACAACACATTAAAAATTACTCTTCATGACAAATATATCATCATTAAGAATATCGTAGCAGCTGATAAAACACCTGATTATCGATCTACGATAACTTATACAACGCAAGGAGATGTCGTTTTTCTTATTGAAAATATCATTCCATTACTAGAAAGGTTCTATTTTCTTTTTTATTTTATTTATTGGTTTGTAATGGAAGTTTGTCAATTTTTCACAGATGGAATGCTCCAATAAGCATGGCTTTATATACTCCTGGATCTGATTTTAAAGTGACATTAGATACAATTTTATATTTTAGGAATTGTCATGATCAACGAGATCTTGTGAGAGATTTTGCGTCATTTCATTTCTTCCTTGAAAAAGATTTAATGCCAAGTGACACTAATCTCGAAATTGACGAATCAAACTTCTCTTGTTCTTCAAATGATCATCTTTTGAAATTTAAACACAATGAAACTTATAGAGCTTTCAAGAAACTCGTGTATCCCATTAATGTTGGACGAAATCTTGCAAGAGAAACAGTTGGCACTCACTTTGTTCTGGCTAGTGATATGGAACTTTATCCAAACCCTGGAGTGATTGAAAATTTCTTTCGCATGCTAAATCAAAATTCTGATGCTTTTCTCAATGGAAAGAAGTAAAAATTATCAACTACTAATTACAAATTTCAAAAACCACTAAATTACTTTCTTTTCTCTATTTAGTATCTTTATATTTCCTGTTTTTGAAATAGAAGAAGGCCTTGAAGTGCCACAAAATAAGTCACAACTTCGTACGCTTTTCAACGATCATAAATTATTCTGGTTCCATGACAAACTAGCCAAATCATGTCATAATGTTCCAAACAAAACGGAATGGTTGAATGATGATGACCCAGAAATGAAAGTTCTTGTGACTGTCAAAAGAATAGGAGAACAGAAGATTTGGGAACCTATGTACATTGGTACAAATGCTGAGCCAACATTTGATGAACGATTGAGCTGGGAAGGAAAATCTGATAAAATGACGCAAGGATACACCATGTGTCTACTTGATTACAACTATCACGTGCTCTCAAATGCGTTTCTTATTCATAAACCAGGAATAAAGAAAGGATCACAGGCCTTTCGACCAGAATTTGAAAGAGCTACTAGGAAACTTATGCGAGAAGTTATTTTACCTGAGATTGATCTAAATTATGGAAAAAGAGAAGGATGTGTGCTATAATTTCATATCTCATCCCTTTAAAATTTGTATTTGTGCTCATATTTCAAATGAAGGTTTCATAATTCCATTGATTGCGGGACATCATCTTTAGGATGATAGATTTAAATATAAAATACTTTGTTAAAGTAAAAACTTAACACATTATACAGAAGAATATTGACAAAAAGTATTTTGATAATTCTAATTAGATTAAATTGATTCATCGACAAATATGTCTCTCAAAATGTAGTGCTGCCCTTCCATTAACTTGAGTTTTGAAAATAATTAGGACTTGAATAAAAAATATCTTTAAGCAACTTTGAAAATATTGTCAAGTCATTGAGATAAGATTGTGACGTAATCTATTTTATTTTCCAAATTTTTTATTCAGTGAAGCTTGTAAGAATGAAGAAATTGTGTGTATTTGGTGCTGGTGCTGCTGGTTTAATTTCAATTAAACATGGAATAAGCTTTGGATGTGATGTGACTGCTTTTGAACAGACCAATAAAGTTGGTGGCTTGTGGAATTTCACAGAGGAAGTTGGAAAAGATAAATATGGTCTTGACATTCACTCAAGCATGTATCAAGGTCTGATAACAAATCTTCCGATTGAAGTTATGAACTATCCAGGCCATCCATATAATGATCAAAAATATTCTTACGCTTCATCTGAAGAGGTTTTAAATTACTTACAATCCTTTGCCGAAAAAAATAACTTAAAAAACTATATAAAATTCGAACACAGTGTTATTCGTGTTCGACCTCTTCAAGGCGACACATGGGAAGTGATTGTAAAGAATCTTCTAGAAAATGCTTACGAAACTTACATTTTCGATTTGGTTCTTATCTGTTCTGGTCCCTTCAATGCAAGTTTCATTCCAAAACTCAAGGGACAAGAAATCTTTCAAGGTCGACAAATTCATTCTCATGATTACAAGAGACCGGAACCGTTCAAGGATGAAAATGTTCTCGTGATTGGTGGAAGCTTTAGCGCGATTGACATTATTCTTCAAACTTCAAACCATGCAAAACATGTCACTTGGTCAAATCATTTAAAAGATAAATTGAATACAAACAGTTACAATGATAGAATTGTTCATAAACCTGATGTCTTGGAATTGAAAGAAAAAGGCGCTATTTTCATTGATGGGTCTTATCAGGAGTTCTCGAGCATTATTTATGCAACTGGGTATAATTATGGGTTCCCATTTTTATCTGTTGATTGTGGGATTGGCACTGAAGAAGGTTATATTAAACCATTGTACATGCATTGCTTGAGCATCAATCGACCAACTTTAGGATTCATTGGGATGATGAACTTGATCGTGCCCAATCAATGTGTAGATTTACAAGCAAGATTTTGTCTGACATTCATGACAGGAAGAAAATTGCTGCCTTCAAAAGAAGAAATGATTGAAGATTATGAAGACGAAATGAAAAGACGTCAAGATCGAGGTGTGCCTAAAAGGAAAACTCATTTCATGGGTGGTCAATATTCTCATGAATATTTTATCAATCTAGCACAAAAAGGAAATTTACAACCAATCAAACCTCGGGTCGCTAAAATGCATACAAAAAGTTTAGAAATTCGTAAGAATAATTTTTTAAATTTTATGAAATTTAAATTTCATATTGTTGATGATGAGAATTTCGAAATCTCTATGATTGAATAAAAGTACTTGAAAGTAGCTATTCATATGGAAGATAAAATAAGTCTCAATTTTTCATTCATGAAACGAAGAGTACTGAATGAAGAAATTGTTTATTATTGATTCTGGTGCTGCTGAAAATTTAAACGAGGAAGTTGTAAAAAATAAATATGTTCTGAAATTCATTCAATCATGTATCAAGGTCTCACAAAAAATCTCCCAATTGAAATTTTGAATTATCCAGATCATTGCTATTCTTATTTAGTTCGCACCGTTCGTGCGTGATCAACTGCAGTAAATTGGCACCCTTAAATTTTAACGTTTAATTTTTTCAAACACAAACTGAACAGAACTCTAATCGTATTTCTGAACAGACCTTAACATATATTTTTATGTTGTTTTGTTTATAATATTTTCGGATCTACAATTGAATTATAAAATTATGTTTATTGTGTTTATTGATAAGAAATGGATGTAAAGTCATGTCGTGTTTGTTTATCAAATATAAGTTGTGAGTTATCACTGTTCAGTAGCTATAATGGGAGAAGTTATGCTGAGTGGATTACTTTCAGTTGTGGTGTTGAGGTAGGTTTATAATAAAATTATTTTTTAGTCTAACATTTCGATCTAATCATTTTATTTCCACAGATTGATCCGAATGATATAAATCTACCACAAAAGTTATGTTGTGATTGTATCAGAAGTATTCAAACAACATGCAATCTTATTCAATTATGTAGAGAGACTGATAATCTCATGAAGCAAAGATATCAGCTTGAGATTGAAAAAGTTGTTATTAAAGACGAATATTTCAATGGAAACTCAAGTTTTTCTCAAGATGAAAACGATCAAGAATATTCTAATGAAGAATTGTTACAAGATAAGGAAAATTCATCACATCTACAACATTCAAGGAAATTAATTGAAAAGCCTCATGGAACATCACCAAAAAACCAAAAATTTATAAAGAAAGTTAATGATTTAAGACCTAAAAATAAGAAACCAGAAGAGTGTGACTATCGATGTTTCATTTGTGATAAAATATTCGATCTTATTTCTACTAAAGATTTGCATGTCAAACAAGATCACGTGGGGATGAAGATCTGTAAAATTTGTAATATTAGGAAACAAACGCCTATTGCTCTAGAAAGTCATCTCCGATTTCACAATTTTGGCTATCGATTCCTTTGCAGTATTTGTGGAAAAAGTTTTCGATACAGAAATTTACTAGAAAGTCATCTAAAAATTGAACATTATAATTCCATAAAATTCTATTGTGATGTATGTCCATACACTACAAAGTTCAAAATAAATCTTGAGAGGCATGTTAAGGTAAGGAAACTATTTTAAAATAATTTTCCAAATAAATAAATATTTTATTTCTTTAGTCAGTTCATATGAAACTCAAGAACTTCAGATGTGACAAATGCAATGATCACGAATACTCAACACAAGTAGGACTAAATCTTCATCTTTATAGAGTTCATGGAGTTGAAGCTCCTGTTACTTGCGCTAACTGTTTACAAGGTTTCACTTTCGAGTCAGAACTTCGAGTTCATAAAAAACATTGTACTGGATCAAAGCATCGAACGAAAAAGGCAAGACCTCAAGACGCTCCAGTCGATATTCTTGAAAACGGCTTTCGTTGTCGAATTTGTTTTCAAATGTATAACACAAGAAGTAAATGGAGTGTTCATTTTCATCACAAACACAAAAACTCAAACATTTGTTCAATATGCGACAAACAAATGGCAAGTTCAACAAGTTTATTTAAGCATATTCAAGTAAGTTAAAGAATTCTAATAAAATATTTATCAATTGTTAATTATGCATTAATTATTTCAACAGGTACAACATAATAATATAAAAAAGTTTCAATGCAATATTTGTATGAAGGCATTTGGTTTTAAGCATAGCCTCGAATCACATAAAAACACCCATACAGGTGATAGTTTTCCTCATATAAAAATATTTAAAATCTAATTTTATTTATTTTTTAGGTGAAAAACCATTTTCTTGCAATTTATGTAATTTTCGATCAGGAGATCGGTCAACTATAAGTAAACATAAAAAAAAATTTCATACAGATTCTCATGACTAACAATCGACACTGGAGACCGCTGCATAGTAATAAGTCTACAAAGTAGTTATTAATTTATAGTTTACATTTGTCACAACAATCAAACCTTTGCATTTAAAGTTTCAATTATAAAAAAGATTTGGAGAAAAATGAATTACTGTGTTGAAATTTTATTTCACTTTTAAAAACTTTTTAAAATTTTATTTATTAAAATAACGGTTATCTAATATTTGAATTCCTTGACTGAAAGTTTTCACCTTTCCTAACACGGTAAGTTTGGTACCCGCATTGTTTTTGTTTTAACTTCCGAGTTGTTCTGCAAACTCTAACTCTAATTTTGAGTA